CGCCTTCCACACTCGCTCATCTGCCGTAGATTGCATTTAATAATGCCATACGTTAAACATTGCACGGTTGGAGCCAATCACACCTACAGAGCTCCTGGTGCTGCCTGTGCACGGAGTAACGTAACGGGTGGTACGGATCCAGGGGTGCAGACAAGCCCTCTAGTAGCCTATAGAATATATGGTTTAACAAAAGAGTGTTTTCTCAAAGAGAATTGTCACTTGGGAATCCTCCCCCCCTAGAGCCCCTGAGTGAGAGAGACACTTTATTTTGAAGTCTGTGACAGCTTTTGCTGCCAACATCATCTATGACTTTCTCCTGCAACTAACGTATAACAGGTCATCCAGTCCAACCCTGCAGGGAGCAGGGACATCTGCAGCTAGAGCAGGGTGCTCAGAGCCCCGGCCAACCTCACCTGGGATGGTTCCAGGGATGGGGCAGCGACCACCTCTCTGGGCAGCCTGGGCCAGGGGCTCACCAACCTCTGTCCAAAATCTCTTCCAAAGGCTATGGCTGATGAACAAGATACACTAAGGCAATTTCATTTTCTTTCAACCCTTGTGTCAGCCAGTGGCAATGTCAAGCAGAGGCAAGGATTCAGCTGCACATTCAAAGACTTCCAAGTGCTCTACAGCTGAAGCCTTCAGGTGATCCCTCTACAGCAACAGCAGTGTGTAAACAGTGACACACATCTTTAGATTAAACAACTGATAATGGGAATTTTAGGCTTCAGCTACTGAAATATTGCAGGGTTTCGTGCAGTTTTAGGAGCTAACAAATGATATTGGTGCATATGTCAAGAAGATTCCCATGGTAGCAACACTCTCCTGTTTCTTCTGAATAATAAAAGCATGATCTGTGAATCTGCTGCAGTGGGGAGCAGTGCACAGAGCAGACCTCACAGCACTGTCACTAGCTGGAACTGTCAGTATAAACCATTTGTCAAACTGCCAGTTTTTGTTTTGGAACAAGGTTATCACAGAGGAGTGATTGAAAATGCCATAGAAGACCACACAGGAGAACCAGTCTCAGGTCTGCTACTTCTCTATTCCAGCTCTATTATTCATGTAGTAGAGGTAAGTGACATACATTCCTAGGGGATCAAGTAACCCTGATTCATCTTTATACAAAACTGACTTCCAACATCCAGCTAGCTACATATGTAAAGCCATCTCTTAGTCCATCCATAGGCTTAAAGTCCTAAATAATGGTGTGGTGGGTTCAGGAGCTTACCTCTAGGACTGACTCCACCCCATGCTTCAGACCACCACCCCAGAACATTATTCTGATGGAACTGGACGTGTTCTGTCAGATGTAACAGGAACAACACACATTGTCCTCATGCCTGTGACTCAAGGGAAAGCCCATGTAGAGCAGCCAATGATTTATTTCTATATTCACAAATTGGTTTGTAACATGCAGCTCTCTGAAAACTTTGCCCTTTCCTCTGCAGTCTTGCAGTAGCACAATCCATCACATCATCCAAGATTTAGCATCTCTCCAAAATCAAGGTTATAGGTAAGTGTTTGATACGACCTTAGATGGAACAATTTTAACAGGAGTGGTAGAATGCTCCCTTAAGGTTGAAGTGAACATTAGCTACGATTCTGTCAAGCTTTTATTCTCTCGTTGAGTACCTGCTGCCCACAGGGGAGCTGAGGCTGTCCTGTTCCTGAGCCACCTTTTCTGGAGGCAGGCAGCAGCTGCCAGCAGGCTCCTGCCCAGCCCTCTGCACTGGAGTCCATCCTCAAGACACCAACTTCCACTGTCAACAGCCTTGATGGGTCTCAGAAAACAAGAAAATTCCTTCCTTAGGAATTCACTGTGTGATTTGTGAACCCTGCTTTGTAAATGTTTTCAGATGTACTGGAATGCCAGAAATTATCTTTCAAACATTAGTCACTGCCTTCCAGCCTGATTCTTGCTATTTCAACACCAGTCCCATGGAGTTCAGCCAGTTACTGTCTTGAGCTTAACCTGAGTGTTTCTCTAAGGCTCTGTATTAACTCATGGGAATCCAGATTCACAAAAGCTGCATCATTTTCTTCACTGTGAATGGAATTCCCCTCAGAGCAAGCCACCATCACACTCCTGCATTTTCTTATCAAATGCCTGCTGCTCTTTTGCTCACTTCTCACCCTCATACCTGCCCAGGACCCCTGCACAGTGCCTTGGAGCATGATCAGAAAAGGTCCCACTGGCTGGGGCAGGAGAGGTCACTGTGCTGTGTCCATACAACCCTCTAACACAGCTCACTGTGGTAGCTTACGAAACCTGACCCTCTGCTAAGAGCTCCTTGCTGTACTCTAGGATGGAATTCACTCTTTTCACGCAGTGCTTTACTCCAGGAAATTAAAGTTTTAGTGGTGGCACACAACATCCCCACCAGACTGTTCCCAGACTGGCACGTGGTCACAGCAACATCCCCGGTGGCAGCTCCAGGAGACTCGACGCAGTCACAGCCTACGGCAGAGGTGGTCGCTCAGTGCCTTGCCCTCCTGCTCAAAGTGGCAGCCAGCATTCAAAATTTTGAGGTAAACTTCAAGTAACCAAGAAATTTACATAGTTCACCCCCCAGACCACGCCAGCCAGCAGCCACACTTGTCTTTCAGGCAGCATTTACAAACATACATACCTGAGTGGATTTTTAGCAGCAGTGTTAAAGCATTAATAAAAAACCTCATTATTTTATAACAAGTTTCTTCCTGGAGCTCTGCAGGGTTATTTTGTGCAGCCATTTGATAACTCATCAGTTGCACCAACACAATTTAAAGGCAGGTGAAAGTCACTGACACTCTGGGAGCAGAGGTGTTTGATAAATGGGAGGTTTGGGGTAAATTTCCTCAGGTTTAACTCCATCACAGCCCTGTGCCCTGGTTGTAACCACACTGACACGTGCTGTTTTTCACCAAGGACAACAATGAGGATGCGAGTGAGACTGTGCACACACTGGCACCCGAGCTGCTGATCCCAGCAGAGATGATTAATTATTTGTATAATGCTGAAGAATGTGCAAGTCCAGAAGATTTTCTGAGAATGTATTTAAGTCCTTCACAGACCACCTTGGATTCAGGTACGCTGCGTACAGTTTGGGAGATAAGCATCAGATTTAGTCACAGAACTGGAATTTGTGGCTCCTACCACTGAATTTGCAGCTCCAGGAGTTTGTTGCAGTGCTGGAGCAGTGACAGAGGAAGGCAGCAGTGCACCCACTGACAGGGTTCAGTGTCCCCTGTTCAGAGATGTCTGAATGAGGAGCAACTGGGCAGCCACTGGGACTTCAAACTGGGGCATCGAGAAGATAACTAAAATATACACAATGTGTTTTGTCAAGGCCTTTATGAAATCCAGCTTTATTCTGTAGTTAAACCTCAGGTCTAGTTTAATAACTTCAACAAAATGTATTATGGAGCATTAAGGAATTTACAGGTTAAGTTAATTCAGCTGATTAAGGAGTTACCTGAACTGTCTCCTCCCTCTCTCATTTGCAGACACGGTGTGGCCTGTTCCCTCTCACTTCTCTGCATGACGCCGCCTGTATCCAGTGGTCCTCTGCAGCTGGACTCATTTAACAGGAATCTACACACTGAAGCACAGACACAGGTTCAGCCCCAGAGCACTTCTGCTCCAGCCCCTGAGAGACGACCCAGGAGCAGCTGTGGGACCCTCGGTGCCCACTGGCAGCAAACGTTACCCACAAACTTGAATAAAGATGCCTTAAGTTGACAAAAGACAATCTTTAATTTTTATAAATGTTCACCCCACTGACGAATCCAAACAGCTGTTTCAGAGTTCTTTCAAAATTCAACCGTTTGAGGAAAGCACAAAAAAAAACCCCACTTCCACAGTTTCATCCTGAAACAGTTGCAAGTTTCACATAAACAAAAGCAGGCTTAGTTAATACAAATAACTAGGAAATAAGTATTAGGTACTGATCATTAAGTAGCGATGAAATGATTAAAGATACAGTAAGTTTCCTTCTATGGTCTGACAGTCCTTCAAGGCACTAGATACATCCACAGTTTTGACAGGGCGACTGATAACCAGCAGTCACCGCCAGCACTCTGGCTTTTTTTGGTTCATGTTTTAAAAAGAATCTGCAGCAAATCAGTGAGGGAATGTCTCTCGCAAGGCATCTCCTTGTATTGCCTAAGAACTAGAAATAAAAGTCTAACCGTGACATTAAAAAGATTATTTCCATAATACATGCACTTTAAATAACTAATGTTCTGCTTCTTACTCTTTTCTTTTGGAATTTCTGCTAATACCATCCGTATTAGCAACAATTATGCTTCCTATGCACGTGGCTGCAGTAATTAATTCCTTCCATCCAAGGGTCTGAAAACCGTTGCTGAGACACAGATCATTAAACTTCTTCCGGATGGCTCCGTGACTCTCCCCACGAGGCACAAGTCACAGCCACATCTCGTCAAAAGAAGCTTCTCCCTGTCAGCTCCGGCGGTTCTCCCCCCAGGGAAGGAGCCCGTGAAGCCCGGGGAGTCTCCTCTACAGAGCAGTGCTCTCCGTGTCGGCGTCCACCTCCAGCGAGACGTGGTTGTGCAGCTCTTTGCTCGCCGGCAGAGGCTCTGAGGAAGGGTTTGGAGATGGTTCTGGAACACTGGGACTGGAGTCTGCACAAAGAAGGGAACGGCAAGGTCAGCAGGGGCAGGGCCACGGGTGTGCTGCTGGGGCGGCTCCTTAGGGAGAGGAGGAAGAGGGAAGATGAAGGGGAGCTTTTCAAACGGGGCTGGCCCCCCTGTGCACGCACACGGGGACACGGCCGGGCCAAGCCACGCTACAAAGCTGACGAGCTGCTTCTCCTGCCTACCCTTTTTAGCCTTCACAGCAGAAAAGAAAAACATCTCTTTCTGAAGCATGAAAGACAGCAAGCACGGCTCAGTGTCACACTCCCCAGTGCCCCTGGGAGTGACACGTGACACTCCAGGCTTCCACTTAACAGAATGGTCCCTCAGCAAAAAAACGTGGCACCTAAAGCACCAGCCAGGTGACTCCCACCTATGACTTCTAGAAGCAATAAGAACATGGATGATGTAAAAAGGAGGCACTGTTCCAAAAAGGGGAAGAAATTATTTAAACCAAATGCAGATTGAACCCTTTTCTTGTGTGTAAACACATCATGTTCTTTGCCTCTTCTGCAAGGAAGAGAATTTTATTTCAAGCCAACGTGTCCAGGAAGGACCTCAGAATGTTGCATTTCTGGTGACTGACTGCCCTGGTAGTTAGAAGACCAGAAATATCTGCTGAAGTTAAAAAAACAAAACAAAACAAAACACAAAACTCAAAATAGTCAGTATTTTGGAAAGCTAATTTATAACATGCCACAACATCACTTGCTGCAATCCAAATAGAAGATCATTTAGATCACTGAAATCAATAAAGAATCCAAATACCTGCCTTGGCTTTCAGGTGGCATAGGCACGCATCCTATAAAGACTTTGACTCCTATCTCAACCATTAAGTCTCAAATTCAGCCCAGAATTTCCTTTATAAATGTTGAAGTTGGAAGTTTCTGAGCTAAATGACGTGCAAGAGGCCAAAGCTGCCCCAGAACAGAAGCCTGAGCAGCACAGAGTCACTCTGTGCTCAGAGCTACTGTTCCCAGGAGCTGGAACTCCATCATACTACAGCCTGACACTGGTTAAGCAGTGAAGTGTTGGCATCAGTTTCCTAAAAACAAGATTCCAGGATTAATGTTCTCTTGTGAGATATGAACTATTGGTTTTCTCCCCAGCCTCTGTCAGTCTTGGGGAGTGCCATATTCTGCTGAGGGGTAATATTCTGCATTCTGGTGGTGAAGGAGATCAGCCAGAAGGCAGAGAACAAACCACCAGCACTGCTGTGACCTGTCAGACACCATCACTGGGGGCACCTTTTAGATGGATTTCTCTCCCCAGCCCTCACTGTCATTTTGGAAGCCTGTGTCCTGGTTACTGGGCTATACCCAGTGCCTTGTGGCACCTATGAGCCCACCACTGCTCACAGACCTTTGGTAACAGTGAAGAAACAACTACTGGGGGTACTTTGAACCCAAACCTTTCCACTTAGCTTCACTTTCAAGTGCTTAAAGAAAATTCCCAATCTGTGAAACCAAGTCTCCTAACACCAGCAGCTCTCCTCTATCCCCTCTACACCGTGCAACTGCAGTTTTTTCAAGGCATGACAATTTAAGTACTTTTAATGTCAGTTGATTTCAGCTTTAGATTTTTTTTTGTAATTTTTACTGCTGTTAAGAGAAGCAACATTAAACAAAAGAACAAACTGCAATTGCAACTTGGCAATTCTTGCATTTTTCTCTTCCTCAAAACATTCCACGCTGAGCTTGACCTTGAAGAGAGGAGCACAGAACCTCATAGCAGGGGCACTGAGTTCTCCCCAAGATCTAACAGCACCTACTGCTACCTTCCAAATTCTGTTTAGAGCACGGTTCAAAAGGTGTAACTCAACTTGAAATGCAGGCACAGTTCTCCCTACCATGTTGAAGGATGAACTGGGAAAGGAGGTAACTGGAAATGTGAGGTGACACAGGAAAGGAGCTTTTGTGACAAACGATGGCACAGCTACATTGAATACAGAATGACCCTCTGTATAAAACACCTTCAGAAAGTCCTGTCTGGAAATCCACGTGGGAACAGTGTGGTGTGAAACTAGCCAGGCAGGACACAAACAACTTTACACGTTCTAGTCTCCAATACTTTTAGTAGGTTAATGTGAGCAGGAGCATCCGAGAGCCATTCCCTCTGCATGCCATGCTGAGGAGAAGGCAAGCAGCAGTGTTACTGTGACAGGTTAGTAGTGGCCATTAGCACACACATGATTATGAATTAGTGACATTTTTGGCCAATCATGAGCCTTTTCCTTACCATTCAACTTTCCAATACAGTTCCTACTGAATGCAGGTCAAACATCTAGATTATTTAATAAAATTTTTGATTAGAATATTCTTTTTCTAGGGCTTATTACTTTAATACCATAAACAGAATTTGAGGCATTACTAAAGTCCAGCACATGGACAAAGGAATTCAGCAGTACCCTGACAGTTAGTCAGAATTCTTGTTCTGATTATTATGAAGTTTGCTGGCAACTTAGTTTTGGCTCCCATTATTCCCATCCATCTCCCCTCACTCCACAATCTGCTAGAATTAAACCCAGCTGCTTCAGGCTGTGAATTAGATAAGCCAGCCTACAATAAGTGCTTGTGTGTGCACATGTAAGTGTTAGAGCAGATCCCCTCAGGTAAAATGCCATGGTGTTAATTCAGAACAAGTATTAATCCTTTAAAAAAAGACTGATCTGGAAAAGGTGGATGATCCTGTACTGAGTGTACTGCTGTGGGTAAGCCCCAGTATCACTTCAGCTGTTCTGGGTGGAGGTTTTTTTTGCAAAAATACAAGGTTTGCTAGGTGACTTCATCAGCTTTGCCAGGAAATCCTCCATGAGCAGCTCTCCTCTACTGGTTTTCCTGCCTGGCAGATTTCATACTGCTGTTTACTGTACACAACTTCCATGGTGCATTTGGTACAGTTTACACTTGGCAGAAATGATATTAAGTCTCTCCTATTTCATTTGAGCATTTTTTTTCTATATTCACCCAGCCTACAGGAGTGTTGTGTCCCTCTGTTCTGCCTGTAACTGGCTGAACAGGAGTCAGCCCTGTCCTGTAATCCCCAGCCCATCCCAATCCCTCCTGGAACCACCTCCCCAGGGAACAGCCCCTGCACAGCAGCTGGGCATGCTTTAGGAGGCAGCTCCTTCCCCAGGTACACTGGGGTGCTCCAAACCCTGCTTCTCTGCCATCAACAAAGCACCTTCTCACAACCAGAACAACTCTGGAATTAAGCCAGCCTACGAAACATGACTTAGAAATGCATGTGAAATCTTTCCTTGAAGCTTGACTCAGCAGCACAGTTCCTATTCTTAAGTAAGTGCTGTCAATATGCAGACCCCAGCCATAGTTCTGAATTCAGTTAGGGCACAGACTGCCCTTCTATTTTAAAGATATTGACAGGAAAAAAAAACAAAACCAAAAACCAAAGTATAATCAGGAAAAGCTTGTTATTTTAAAAAGCAAAGCTACTTTTTAGTTGCTTAAGCAGCTCATTTACTGCTAGTTTCTCCAAAAAAAAAACAAACCAAAAAAACCCACAAAACCAAAACAACAAAACCAGAACAAACCCCAACCTCCCTTAGCTTGGCATCTCAAGCCAATACCCATTTCAGTGTCTTTCCTGTAAGCACTCAAATCCTGAGATAATTTGGCAACGCAGCCTCAGCTCTTTCAGCCTGTGATGCAGCTTCGCAGTACCAGGCAGCACCTCCAGCCCCCTGTGGGAGCTCTGGGAGCACCCAGGGGGGGCTGGCAGCTGCAGCTGGGCAGGGCAGCGCTGGAGCTGACAGTGCAAACACAAATATGCTGCTGGGAGCCTTGCTGCAAAGGGGATCAGTCACAGGAACGTGTGTCTTGCCAAATAGATTCCACATAGTTAAAAATAACTAAAAATCTAAAAATCTACATTAAAATGCAACCATAATCCCATGAATTGTAAGGAAAAACCTGAGCTTCACACTTGGCTTTTGGATTGATAGTGCTTGTGACTTCATGTAAAGTGTTACTTGCTTCATTAGAGAGATATAAAAAAATTGTTTTAAGGAATAACTTAATGTTCACAGGTCTATTAAAAATAAGCAGCATAGGTCTTAAAACTTCTTATCAACAGGATGATGTGTAGTAATGAGATAACACAGGGCTGACAGGGAGCACATATTCCAAAGCACATATACAAAATAAAGCTACAAATAAAATATTGCTGTGCAGGAGCACTGGAGCTTCCAGGGCATAGTTCTGGTAAGTACAAACCTCATTCGCAGTAACCATCCCCACCTGTGAAGGCACCATGGGGTAGAGCTGTTAGAATTTACACTTGGCATTCCAGTACATTACTCTTACTCTAGAGAAGCTGCAGGGTCATTGGAAAGTTTTCACCATTATTAAATACAAGTAGATTTAAAAGCACTCCTCTCCTATATTCAATACCTCTTCCTTCAGAATTTCCTAAAATAAGCAAACTCAGCAGGAGAACATTTCAAGATCTGCTAGTTTTCACTGTAATCAGCAGTTAAGGGTTTTATTTTTTTCTCCTCAAGATTTAAATTAACATTATCCCTACCAAACTAGTGGCTACAAGCTCCATCTAGTTCCTGTGAGAAGACAAAGTTTCTCTTTACTTCATGATATCTCAAAAGAGAAAAAGAAGCCTGTATTTAAAATAGGAAGATCTATCTCAAAATTGACCTAAGCTGCACAGTTCAGTGTAAGTGATTCTTCAGCTTCTGGATGTCCAGCTTAAAAGCACATCAGAAGTCTTTGTTCTCACAAGGTAAAACGTTCACTGTTGTAGGATCTCATCCATCAGAACATCTGTCAGAGGCCACTTCTGTCATTTTCTTATCTTCTGTGTGTGCTGACACCCTACCCTTGCCCACTTCTTTCTCCCTCCTCCAAATATTTGCTTTTTTGGCAACAGATCTATAAGCACAACAGAGTGCTGTGATGCTGAGCCCAGAGAAAACCCTGGAGAGCTGGTTGCTATCATAGTGTTTTGCTTCCAAAGCAGGAAAAAAAATAAGCAAGCTCTACACTTTCCCTCAAATATTTCTGCCTCAGGAATAAAAACCTTCACTGGGGAAGTGCCCCAAATCCTCATGCACAGAACACATCCGTGGACGTTTTAACTCAGAAATGAGTAATTTGGTATTTTAACTGTTTGTGCTTCTCAGTCCCCGCTCCATCCAAATTAATTCACAGCTACAGGCATCATTTTCTTCCTTTCTGCTCCCCCAAGGAGACACCACACAAAGAACCCACTCACCTGTGACTATTTTGGAAGCCGTTGGCGTGGGATTCGCGAGGAGCCCGTCCCCAGGCAGCTGGGAGGGGGGGTGTGGTGGTGGGGGGACACTGGGTCTGTTCCTGGGCTTTGGTACCGGCCGGGGCCTGGGCAGCGTCCCAGTCTGAGGCGGGGAGGGGGACTGGGAGCTCTCTGGAGCAGGCGGCTGGGGCTGTGCCGAGGGGGAGCCGGCACTGTGCTTTCCCAGAGGGGGGGTGTCAGGGGGCGTGGGGGTCTGAGGAGGAGTGTCACAGGGCTGCTCGGGTCCGTGCTCGCTGCCCACCGCAGCGGGAGGAGAGGTCTGGCTGCTGGACTTG